GGCCGAGGCCCGCCGCCCCGGCCGCCGGAGCCTCTGGCGTCCGCGCGCTGTGTGCCGGGTGCCGCTCAAGGCTCCAGCTGCCCTCGCCGGTGACCCGGGTCCTCGCCAACGCCCCCACACCCCGAATTCCTTCCCGAGCCCTCCATTTCTTTCCGGGTTTCCGATTTCTCCGCAAGTCTGGCAGAGTTCTCGGCCCCGGGCCCCTGTTCCTCCTGGGCCGGGAGCGCCGCCCCCGCTGCCTCCACAGCCCCTCCCCTGAGCCCCTGCGGGGCCCTGGGTCCCCACCTTTCCCTGGGGCCTCCGGGCAGTCGTCCGGGCACACTCCCCTGCCCACGCCCCACCCCCTACCTTCTCTCTCCTTGCGGCTAAGGCAGAGAGGGCCTTAGGGAACTGCCTGGGCCTGTTTCCTCCCCTGACGGAGGGGCACCCGTTCATTCTTCAGCAAGTGTTTATGGAGCACCCGCTGTGTGCAGGAGACACTGTTCAGTATGCTGGGCACACGGGAGGGACCAAGTACTGCCCTCCAAGACAACCAGCAAAACCTGTGAATGCTCACAGCGATGTGTGCAAAATGCAGAGGGCGGATATCCCGCGGCTCACCCGGTGGCCTGGCCTCAGGATTCCACGGATCCAGGTGAGGGAACATGCCTGCGCATAGTAGGTGCTCCATCAACGCTTGTTGACTACACACCCCTTCAGTTTTCCATATTTGTTCAGAGGCAGTCTGGCTATGTTTTGCTTTCCAGGTCTCGTAACATTTCCTTATTAGCCAAAAAGAGTGAATTGTGCCCCTACTATGTGCCAGTCCTGGTGGGGGCAGATTAGACTTCTCGTCTTGTTGGGTAGAGGGGATTCAAACAGGAAACATCTTTTGAGCACTTACTGTGTGCCAGGTGCTGTTCTATTTGTCGATTTATTCAGTCAGTATGAAGCCCCTACTGGGTGCCAGTCACCAGAGGTACAGCTGTGAATCAGACAGACGAACATCCCTGTTTTCGTGGTGCTTCAGTAGGAAGCACTGCGTATTCAACAGGGAGCGAGGAAACTCCATAGTGTCAGGTGGCGAGAAGTCGAAAGGAGAAAAATAAAAAAAAGCGGGGAGTGTAGGTGAATGGGGTTCAATGTTAAGCAGGGCGGCAAGGTCGGACCTTGACAAGGAGGTGACATTCGAGCCCGAGAGCCGAAGAGGATGAGGGAGCCAGCCTTGTGGCTATCTGGGGGTGTTCTAGGCTGCAGGACCGGCAGGTGCAAAGTCCCTGAGGCAGGATCCAGTATGTTTAAAGAAGGTGTGGCTGGATCCGAGGGAGTCGGGGGAAGTGGGAGGAGGTGAAGGGAGGGAGAGAAGGAGGGAGGACTGCAGGGAGGACTTTATCAAATGAATCATGCCTAAAACAACTCTCGATTACTCCCTCCTGACCCCAAACCAGCTCCTCCCACATTGTCCCAGTCTCGAACATTCATGCCGAAAACTCAAGTGCCCTGCTTGCCTCCTCCAGTCTCCAAATTATCCCCAGATCCAACATTCCCATCCTTCCTCAAGATCAACTGTCCTGCTTGCCTCCTCCAGTCTCCAAATTATCCACAGATCCAACATTCCCATCCTTCCTCACCTGGATCACCACCTGGTCCAGGCCCCGTCCTTGCTTGCCTGAACCAGCGGTCACCTCTACCTTGGTCCCCAGCTCCCCTGCTCGTCCTTGCCCTCAACAGTCTGTCCTCTCTGCAGTAGCCCCTCCGGCCTGTGAGCCCCCTGAGTCGGGTCCTGACCCTCCTCTGTCCATCGGCCTTCAGGGCTCCCACCTCCCTGAGGGTAAAACCTCAAGTCCTCCTCTGGCCCACAAGGCCCTGCTCGACTTGCCCCGCCCCCTCCCTGCCCTCCCTCTCACTCTGCTCCAGCCACACAGGCCTCCTCGCTGTTCCTCCAGCGCTCCAGGCACGGTCCTGCCCCAGGGCCTTTGCATGGGCTGTTCCCACTTCCTGGAAGTCTCTTCCCTCAGATGACCCCATGGGTCAGTCTCTCCCTGTTTTATGTCTCGTTGGAATCTCTCTTCTCGTTGAGGCCTTCCCGACCACGGCGTTTAAAAGTGCAAACTCCCACCCCCAATTCTGGGCATTTGTGGACCCCGTTTCCCCCATTATGTTTCTCCATGACGTTCATCAGAGCGTTATACTGAGAATTTCACTCATTTACTTGTTGATTTCCTGTCCCCCACACGAGAAAGTCAGCTCCATCGTTTGGGTCTCTGCCGTGCCCCTCCCTGTTCTCAAACAGCCGGACAGCGAATGACCCCCGTGCGTCTCGCCCCGAACCCCTCTCCTCTGCTCTCATCTGCTGTCTGCTCGATCATGCCCCCTGGTGCCTCCACCACCTGACACCGGCTCTCCCCATGCCCTCTGCCCCGCATCTGACTTCCTGGAATTGCCGACCTTGGCCCCCTGGCCCCAGGATACCACGTGACATCTGCCCAAAACGAATTAAAAAAAAAAAATTTGAATCATTTATACAACGAGGTCTGGGATTTATCAGCAAATGGGGATCAATCAACGAATTAACTCTTGGTCTGGACTGGGGTCCCTCAGCGTCAGCTCTTGGCAGCGTTTGGGGCCCGATCGTCCCCTGTGGGGGCCATGCTGGGCCCTACAGGGCGTGGAACAGCCTCTCTGGCCTCCACCCAGCAGTTGTGACAACCAGAAGTGTCCCCAGACATTGCCTAGTTCCCCCCGGGGGGGACGGAGTTGTCCCAGCTGTGAAGCGCTGCTCTAGCCTGCAAGGTCTCACCCCAGGTGGGTACTAGGATGGCTACTAGGGCGGGACAGGCAGAAGGCCTCAGCCCCGCCCAGCTGATGGGCAGATGCAGAGCTCTTGGCCCCTTGGGATGGCCCTAAGGCCGTGTTTCTCCCAAGTCTGAACATGACTTGCTTTGAGCACCTGGTGACTTAAATTATGGAGTCTGGGATGCCCTCCCTCTTGGAAAGGCCTTCTCTGTGCCTGTTTTCTCTGCATACAGTGGGAAGATGTGAGTACTGGCCTCGTGCATTCATTCATTCAGCAAATGTGTGCGTTAGGGACCTGTTCTGCGGTTCAGTGACCCTCTGATGCCCACCATCAGAAGGCGAAAGGTTCAGCACACGAGAAAAGTCTGCCCAGTGGCGAATTCTGTTGTGGGAGAAACAGGGTAGGAGAGAGACTGGTAATGGGGAGCTGGGGTGGCCGTGCCGCTGTACCTCAGAGCTGAGCGGTGAGAGTAAGGTCGCTGAGGCAAAGGTCTGGGGCTAAGGCGCTCCGCGCCTGCAAAGAGCCTGCAGTGGAAATCGGCATGACATTTTTTGAGAACTGGAAAGAGGAAGAAATAGCCTCCAAATGGCTTGGCAGCTCTGTTAGGCATAGAGCCAGCAGGCAGCGATGGTTAGCACACCGTACTAACAATGCTACTTATATCGGTTAGCTATCACTGCGTAACAAATCACCCCAGAACTCTGTGGCTGAAAATCAATAAACATTTATGATTGCACACAGAGTCTGGGAACAGATAGGGGGGTGGTTCTGTCTCAGAGCCTCTCTGAGGTCACAGTTAAGTTCTCGGCTGCGGCTGGAGTCACTGGGAATCCCTCACGTAGCTGGTGGCAGGAGGCCACAGTTCCTCTCCGTGGGGGCCTCTTCAGAGGGCTGCTTGCAACATGGCTTACAACATGGCGTGACAGAGACAGAGAATGACCAAGAAGAAAGCCAGTGCATTTTATAACCTGATGTCACGAGTGACACCCCATCACATATTCTCTCGGTGGCGCCATGTTGAAAGGACTACCCAAGGCTGTGAAGACCAGTTGTGGGGGCACTGGGACCTCCCAGGAGGCCGACTGTTTCCCTTTCAAATGTGTATTGAGCACCTACTGACTTTCGGTCGACGGCTTCGGAACATTCCATGCATTGACACAGCCCGAAGCGGTCCCCTACGTGGGCTTGTTATCATCCTAACAGGCTGTGTAGTCTTGTGGTTAGGCACACGACCTCTGGAGCCAGATTGCTTGGGTTCGAATCCCAGCTCTGTCTTTCACTGGCTGTGTGACTTTGGGCAAGTGCCTTCACGTCTCTGACCCACTTTCTTCATCTGCAAATGGGGAAAATAGTAGTGTCTACCTCTTGGGTGACACCAGGTACCTGTCAGCTGCTATCCTCTTGAGGTTGGGGGAAGTGACATGTCTTGCCCAAGGTCCCCCTGCTACGACAGGTCATGGCGACCTTGGAAAGCAGGCGGTGGGGGCGGGGGTGGGTGGTCTCTGGGCCGCCCCCTTCCTGGTGGTAACTGTGCGTTTCCGGCTTTCTGCAGGTCTGCTCCAGCATTCCCCATGAGACAGGGGACCGTGAGCCGGTAGGCGACACCGGACCTGCGGGAAGGCGGGCGGTGCAGAACATGCCTCCGCCAGCCAGAGCTTCTGCTGCCGTCGGAGGCCACACCCACCCGTGTCCATGGCCTGCACTGGCCCGTCGCTCTCCGGCGCCTTCGACCTTCTAGATGCGGCAGGCCAGGACAAGCTCCTGTCTCTTCAGCGCAAGCTGAAGGCCCTGCGCCCAGGCTGTCGGGGAGCAGACCTCCTGCACGCCATGGTGCTCCTGACACTGGGCCAGGAGGCGGCGGCCAGGGTCTCCCTGGAGGCCCTCAGGGCAGATGCGGCAGCCCGGCTCGTGGCCCACCAGTGGGCCGGCATGGACAGCAGTGCCGAGGCCCCGGAGGAGCCCCCAGACGTGTCCTGGGCCGTGGCCCAGGTGTACCACCTGCTCGCTGAGGAGCGGCTGTGCCCGGCCCCGATGCGGGACGTGGCCTACCAGGCAGCCCTCCGGGCTTTCGGCTCCAGCGATGACCCCCGGCTCGGGGAGCTCCAGGAGGAGGCCCGAAACCGGTGCGGGGGGCACATCATCGGGGACCCCGGGGAGTTCCGGCCCCTCCGCTCTGATCTGGGCTGCCTCCCGCCATCCTCGCCTTCGCCCTCTGGGACGCGCAGCCTGCCTCGGCCCATCGAGGGCCCGTCGGGCTGGAGCAGAGGGCGCTCTCTGAGATCCACCGGCAGCCTGGCCTCCCTGGCCAGCAGCTTGGATATTAGCCAGTCGCCCACCATGGCTGTCCTCAGCCAGCCCCGCAGCCCCTGCAGGCCCAGCAAACTGGGTGACGAGCCCCCGGCCAGCCCGGCGTGCGGGCCTGTGCCCATGGGGTGCCAGGAGCCCGAGGAGATGAGCTGGCCCCCGTCGGAGAGGACAGCCAACATCCCGGCGTCACCAAACAGCCCCGTCCTCCCGCTTCCTGAGGTGGCCCCAGACGCAAGCCCTGCTGGCCCGTCCGAGCCACGTGAGGCTCCAGACACCGGCACCCACTACCCAGTGGAGTGCACGGAAGTGTCGCCAGCCCCCCAGTCTCTCCCCGTGCCCTCCACAGACGCCTGCCCTGTCAAGGACCAGAAGCCACTACAACTTCCCACAGAAGACACGACCCCCCCGACGGCCCAGCCATACGTATCGGCTCCCTCGGCCACGAAGACGTCCCCTCCCGACCCTTCTGCATCGACCCCTGGTCCCGCCCGCTTGGCCTCCCCAAACCTGCGTCCCCCTCCTCTCGAGTTAGAGTCGTCGGAGAAGAAATTTTACAGCTTTGTGGTCTTGCACGCCAAGACGGATGAGCACATCGCCCTGCGCGTCCGAGATAAGCTTGAGGCCCTGGGCGTGCCCGACGGGGCGACCTTCTGCGAGGACTTCGAGGTGCCCGGGCGCGGTGAGCTGAGCTGCCTGCAAGATGCCATAGACCACTCAGCCTTCACCATCCTGCTGCTCACTGCCAACTTCGACTGTCGCCTGAGCCTGCACAAAGTGAGCCATTCACTGATGAATAGCCTCATGCAGCACGGGCGGCAAGACTGTGTGGTCCCTTTCCTGCCCCTGGAGAGTTCCCTGGCCCAGCTCAGCCCTGACACTAGCAGCCTGCTCGCCAGCCTGGTGTGGCTGGACGAGCACTCTCAGATCTTCACCAGGAAGGTGGCCAGCACCTTCAAGCCCCAGAAGCTGCGGGCCTATAAGGCCACCTGGAAGAAGGAACAGGATGTCCGGGCCTTGCGGGAGCAGCGCCAGCACCTGGAGGTTGAACGGCAGCAGGCAGCCGCGTTGAACGCCGCGTACTCAGCCCACCTCCAGGCCTACCTATCCTGGCAGGCGCAGATGGAGAAGCTCCAGGCAGCTTTTGGGAACCACATGACATTTGGGAGTCAGCTGCCCCCTGGGGCTTCGGTGCCCCATGGAAGCCAAGGGCCCTTGGGAGCACAGCTGCCTTTTCCTACCTGGCCTGGCCATCAGCCGTCACCCCTGCCTCCATGGCTGGCTGACAGCCCCCCACCGGCCTTCCCGCAGCCCCCGGCCTTCCCGCAGGCTTCACCTGTGACCCCTCAGAGCCCTGGGCTGCAGCCCCTCATAATCCACCACGCACAAATGGTGCAGCTGGGGCTCAACAACCATATGTGGAACCAGAGAGGGACCCAGGCACCTGAGGACAAGACACAGGATGCAGAATGACCGAGTGACAGAGCCCGATGACCCTGACCTCAGGCCCCCTTTGAAGACACCCCCCCTACCCCCCATCTCCAGGGGGAGCAGTGGAACATGGGTCACCTGCTGTTTTCAGGACATTGCTGGGGCACCTTCACGACTTAGGAAATTGTGTGATATGGGCCCCATGACTTTCTGGCCCTCGAGAGGCCAGACTCTCTCCCTCCTCCCTCCCTCTCTGTCTCTGTCTCTGTCTCTCTGGATGGTGGTGGTGGGGAATGGGCTGGGGGATATTAGTACGCTGTTTTAATTATAATAAATATTTATTGAATGCTTCTCTAACGCCGTTCTCCTCTGGGAGACCTCCGCTCTGCGATTTAGTGAGAGAAAAATGTGGCTACTTCTCGAAAAAGGGAACTGGAAGAGCAGCTCTCTTCTGCCCCTGCAGGCATGGACGGGAAGTTGCACGCATTCGCTCACTTCATTGGCCAGAACATAGTCACATGGCTCCTCTCCCGCTGCAAGGCCACCTGGGAAATGCAGTCTTCCAAGGGGCCACGTGCTTTGCGTAAAGTGGTTCTAATGCCAGCGGAGGTGGGCAGAAAAGACACTGGGGGATATTGAGCAGTTTCTCCTGCAGTTTTTTTGGGGGGTGGGGTGGGGGGGTGGCAGGTCTTGCTTTGTTGCCCCCACCAAAGCTGGGCTCAGATCCCACCGCGTGGTTTTGGGCAAGCGTCTTCACCATTCCGAGCCTCTGCTTTCTCATGTGAGAAATGGGTTTATAATTTCAGAGTCATCAGCACGTCAGAAGCGATGGTCTGAGGGCTCATAAACTGCATGTGCCTGGCGGGGAGGGGATTCATCTTTTCTTGAGAAGAAGAATAGAATTAATTAGGTCGAGCACTTACCACTTGTCGATTCTGGAAGTTTTAAATATCTATACATATTTTAATCTCTCAAAATGAACTTTCGAGGTAGAAGCTTCTATGGTTGGGCCCATTTTACACATGAGGAAAACTGAGGCTCAAAAAGGTGAATTCTGCTCCGGAAAGTCCTGTGAATCAGAAGTGGGAGATGATAATCGAAGAAGCCAGACTTCCAACGGAGGAAATGACAGGGCCCAAGGCGGACGAATTTGGGTGGGCCGAGCCAGCGAGCCGAAGGCTCCCTCCACCCAGCTGCCTGATTTGAGCACTGACTGCGTGCCCTTTCCTCCAATGCCCGCCAGCCCAAAGGGCAGGCCTGGTGTGAGTCACCCAGGCTGCTGTGTGCCACTTGCAGTTTTAGTGGCTGACTCAGGTTTTGTTTGGGGCTCTGCTCCCTCCCGCCCGCCCTCCCAGCCATGATGAAGTGAAACCTGGGGAGGAAAGCCGAGATTAGATTCCAGCCAAACTGAAGTGAAACCCGACACCAGATTCCATGGCGGGATGGGGTGTGGTAGGGCGGGGTCCTGGAGACCAAGGATTTGAGTCTGGAGCTAGCTGCGAATTTACTGGGCAGTGGCAGTGAACAGGCCATTGGCTCATCTGCCCAACATTTCCTGCGCCTACAGTGTGCCTAGATTTTCCCAGGCACTGGGGTGTCATAGCGGGGAATGTGATCGTCCCTCGCTCTCTCTTCAGTTGGAGATGCAGGAAAGGGAGCAGTGAATAAGTCATCAAATGAGGAAGCAAGACAATTTCAGAAAGTGAAGAGACTTTGGAAGAAATTAACCGGGCGAGGTGATGGGAGTGTCTCAGGAGGGAGAACTTTGGCCCAGGTGCCAGGGGGGCCTCTCGGGTGGTGCTGGGGCCAAGCCCTGGCAGAAGAGGAACTGGCCATGGAAAGAACTGGGTGGGACGGGGTGAGGAGGATCTGGGCAGAGGAAACAGCCTGTGCAAAGGCCCTGGGGCAGGACTGTGCCTGGCTTGTTGGAGGAACAGCGAGGAGAGGGCCGTGTGGCTGGAGCGGAGTGAGCCAGGGGGAGAGAGAGGGGACAGGGCAGGTTGTGCAGGGCCTTGTGGGCCACACGGAGGACTTGTGCTTCCCCACCCAGGGAGGGGGAGCCCTGGAGGGCTGTGGGGACCTAACTCAGGTGCTACAGAGAGGACTGACTGCAGGGGTGAGGGCAGGAGCTAGGGGACTAGGGCAGATGAGCACGTTTCATCCTCCCAACAGCCCAGAAGCTGGAGACTGTCATTGTCCCCAATATACAGATGAGGAAACTGAGGCCCAGGGTGGTCAAGTCACTTATCCGAGGTCACACAGCATGTAAGTAGCCTTCAAGGGCAGGAGACGGAGCTGGGCATCTCTCTACTGGATTCTGGCCCATAAGCAGCCTCGATTTTTCAATTCTTTGAAATATTCTTTATTTCATTATTTGTTAATTAGCGATTTCTCCGCCACACCCTGTCCCCCCTGGGAATGCTGGGACAGACCTGTCTTGGTGACTGCAGTGTTTTCAGAAGCCAGGACAGGGCATGGCACACAATTATGGGGTGATCGGGGCTGTGACGGGGACATGTAGGAGGCTGTTGGAGCCCAAAGGAGACCCTCGGCCAGCGGGGTGGGATTGAGAAGCTTCTGGAAGGAGGAAGTAAACAGACCTGAGGAATGAGCCAGGGGCTGGGAAAAGTGTCCCTGGAGGTGGGCAGAGCATGGCAAAAGCCTCTAGGGGAGACTGCCAGGACAAGGCAACCCTACGGGGCCACGAGTCCTGCTTCTGCAGCGCCTCCTGGTGGCCACCACCGGCCCGGAGGCCCCACGTGGGCCTGGGTGGAAGTCCCATGCCCCCTCTAGGCCAAAAGGAAAACTGTGAAATGTGAATAAATAACAGATGATTTGTTTCCAGAAGTCAAGAACTGTGTCCCTGCTTGGAACGACATCTTTCTGCGATGATTAGCTGTTTTGTAAATGTTCTCCCACCCTGTGGGCCCAGAGGGGGTAGCCCTTTGCCGAGTGTCACACAGCACATGCCAGGCTGAGGCTCGGCTTGGGCAGAACACAGGGAGTGCGGGCTGCGTTCGAATTTCATATATCTACATCTCCATGCAACCTGGTTGGCCCATCGCCTGGCTAGACACAGAAGAGGTGACAGACCTCTCCCACCTCTCGGCCTCCCCCACAAACAAACGAGGCGCCGCACGAAACATGCCGTCGAGAGATGCGTGTTTAAAATGATTGTCTGTTGGACGTCGAATACATTCCCATGGTCCAGAATTCAAATGATCCCAAAGAGGAATCGGGGTAAAGCTGCCGGCCCTTCCGGGTCCCCAGCCACCCAGTCCTCCTGCCTGGAGACCCTCGTGGGACAGATCTGTATCCCATCCCTGCTCCCTGCAGCAGTCAGAGGACGCAGGCGGGCACTCGAGTCACACCCTGTCCCTCCTCCACCCACAGCCCTCCACGTCCTCCCCACGGCCCGGCCCGCGAGGCCCTGCACGACCTGCCCCGGCCCCTCCCTGCGCTCCCCCTTCCCCTCCCCCCATTCCACTCCACTCCAGCCACGGGGGCCTCCAAGCTGTTCCTCCCACACGCCAGACACCGTCCTGCCCCAGGGCCTTTGCACAGGCCGTGCCCGCTGCCTGGGGCGCCCTTCCACCAGACACCGACATAGCTCCCTCCTCACCTCCTCCAGGTCTTTGCTCAAAAGTCACCCTCTCAATGGGGGCTTCTCTGAGCACCCCATTTAAAATTCACTTACGATCACACCCACCAGCTCGCCCAGCGCTGCTCCACTTTTCCGTAACGCTTAGCGCTTGGGGACAAAATAAGTCACTGCTTGTCGCAGACACGGCCATCCCCCTTCTCCGCGAGGAAGAGCTTTGTTCGTTGACTTCCTGCTGGATCCCAGTGCCCGGCCTAACGGCAGGCACTCGGTGACGGATCAGAAATGCTGCTCCAGCCCGACTTTAAACAGCCTCTTGGTTCCACGTCCCCTCGCTGCCTGTGGGCAGGCAGTTCATTCATCCCATTATCTGCTCATTCATTTATTGAACAGTATATACTGAGCACCTACTGTATGCCCGGGGGGGATGGTTTCAGATTTAGGGGATGGGGTGTTGACTATGGCAGACTCTGTTCCTACATTCATGGGGCTCACAGCTCTGTGAGGGAGACAGACACCTCTCTGTGTGGTCAGAACCTGCGTGGTCCTGCGTGGGCCGGGGGTACGCAGGGGGTGCAGGGGCTGGTGTCGGGGAGGCTTCCTGGAGCGGGGTACTCCTGGGAGGAAAATGTATTCCAAGCAGAAGGGACTGCCTGTGCAAAGACCTCGGGGCAGGAGGGCGCTTGGTGCCTCCGAGGGATGGAGAGGGGGCAGCGGGCTGACCCGGTGGAGGGCCTGGGTCCCCCGGGCCTGGAGAATAGCATAGATACTTCGTTTATCACAGGGACTCAGGTGCAGCGATAGCGTTCACTGCCACCAGGAGGTGCTGTCGGACAGTGTTTCCAGACTCTCTCCCCGCCAACGTGGGGTGGGGGTTCCTCCCAAGAGAGCCCCTAGGGGCACGGACCCCCAGAGAGTGCCAAGTTCCAAGCCATGCCAACAGCCCCCCTCCACAAATAACACAGCGGCTGTATAAATCTCCCTGTTAACTGGGTCTTTGGAAATCCGCAGTGTGATGCTGCTGACGACCACAACCCAGAGAGGGCGGACACAGACCTCAGGCCCCAAAGTGAGCCTAGCCCCACCCCCTGCGGCCGCCCAGCCGCCTCAGCCCCTCCTCCCAGCCGCGGGTGTTCCTGGGTGGGGGTTTTTATTTTTAACCTGCTCAGAGGACACGGCCTTTTTATAGCCCGGGGAAGCACCCAGGGTTTCCAATTTCCGAGGGAAGTTAAGAAAAAAAGTTTTCTTCCCAAGAAAAGGAGCCACCCAAACCCCCCCTTTCCCAAGGCTCCCCTGGGGTCCCTCAGAGCGCTCAGTGGGCCCCGTGCCCGTCCCCACCCTGTAAACTGCATCCCCCTTCCCTGCTGGCACCTGGGCACTGGAGTGTGCCAGGCTCACCCTTCCTGGGTCTGAGAAGCCACCAGGATGGGGGCGACGCTGTCTGGCACCCTCCCGCTCACTCCTGAACCTTGCTCACCTGCCTGACATCCTCACGCTCCCTGCCGGCCATCTGCCCTCTCGTTAAATTTCTTTTCTAGTCCTTGAGTTGCTTGATATTTTTCTTCAAGGAGCCTTTAAAATGAACTCCCTTTTTCCCTGGAATTAGATAGCGGTGATGGTTACACAGGAGACCTCGCAACTACACTAAAAGCCACTGAATTGTACGCTTTATAAGGTGAATTCTATCTCAGGGGAAAAAAAATTGTATAAAATACGACGAACTCGTCTTTTATTTTTCATATTTGTTTTTAAACTTGGGTCACCTGCAGTATTAATATCTGTGAACTCACATGTTCGGGGGGCTAGCTATGCTTTGTTCCTTAAGAAAATGCAAATAAACAGATAACTAATTTTTTTTAAGTTCATCCATGTGTTGTATGTACAAGTGGGCGTGCAGACAGTAGGTGGCCCGCTGAGCGCTTTGTGCCAGGCTGTTTTCATGGGCAAACTCACCCAACCCTCTACACAACGCTGGGGTGGCTGCTGGAGTTACCTCACTTTATAGATGAGACCGAGGCTCAGGGAAAGCGGTGTTCCCAGCGTCACGTGGCCTGTGTCCTCGCCACTAACTCGCCCTGCCCAATGAACATGCTCTTCTCTGAAAGAGGAACTTGCTAAATCAGACGATTGAGGGCAAGTTGGTGGCCTGAGGGCTGAATCCAGACCCCTCCCCCAACTGGGTGTTTCATTTCATTTAAACTTTAAAAAAAAAAACACCTTTTGGTTCCAATAAAACTTTATTTACAAAAATGAGGCTGGATTTGGCCCACAGGCCGTAGTTTGTAGACTCCTGCCTTAGGTCATTCATTCTCTATTTTTCCTCTTTTCTAAACATTTAAAACTACATATTTCTATCACTGCTTTAGCTGCATCCTACACATTTTCATGTTATTTTGTGCTCACTTCAAAACATCTTCTAGAGTTTTCTTTGTGATTTGACTGAAGCTAGGTCACAGCTGCCCACCTGCCTGTTACCTACCAGCCCTGAGTGACATCTGAGTTTGAGGTCCTTTAGAAGTCAACACTAAGCCAACTCAGCAACTCAGAGGCCTATCTTCCCTGGGACTGCGAGCCTTCTATTAGTCAACAAATACTGACTGAGCACCTACTACGTGTTAGGCACTTTCCTGGGCTCTGGGTGTACAGAGTGAGACAGCTACGGTGGGGCTCCCACGAGGCCCTACAGCCACCTCAAGTCCAGAACTTGGCTCCCATTTCTCTCCAGCCCGCTAAACGGCCCCACCATCCATCCACCTACTGGCTCTGGCTCAAAACCTAGGAGTCCATGTGTTTCTTCCTCTCGATGCTCATTCTTCAACCCAAAGCATCAACAGCTCTCGCCAGCCCACCTCCAAAGCAGATCTGGCATCTGTCCGCTTCCCCCTACCTGTGGCTTGACTCGGTCCAGCCCCTTTCCCGCCAACGCTCACTGGGACACCTGCACAGCCTCCCCAAACCCCTGGTCTCCAGACCCGCCCCTGCAATCCATTCCTCCAGCCTTGACCAGAGTGGTCTCAAAGCTTGAATCAGGTCACTCCTCTCCTTGGCTTGAAACTGCCACAGCTGCCCACCTCCATAAGGTTAAAACCCAAACAGTTCACCAAGGTCCCAAGGCCCGGCACTATCTGCCTGAATCCCCGACCTCCTACTCTCCCTTGCTCACTGTGACCTGGCCACGCGGGCCTCCTCGCTCTCCTCAGGAGCCAGGGTATTCATTCCACAAATGCTTAGAGAGCCATTTTGTATCAGGCCTTCTTTTAGGCACTGGCAACACAGCAGAGAATGAGCTGGTGTGGTTGACATCCTAGGCAAGGGACACCATGACCAAAAGAAGCGTGTGAAGAAAAAGATGATTACGCAGGTTAAGGTTCTAAGGGTTGAGATGGAAATACACAAGCGGGATGTGATGTGGAATCACTGGGGCTGAACTTCTGATTATCTAGAAGGGCTTCACGAAGGAGGTGACATTTTATCATGATCATTGCTCTGTGGGCTTTTAGTAGAGGATATTAGGGCATAGGGCAGGGGGAGAGGGTTGCACTGGGGGGTCTCAAGTGTCTTCTTCAACGCCTAGGTTCAACGTCTCTCCTGTGACCCGTGAGAAACAGATGCTGGGGGGATGGGACGGAAGGTCCGGTCACGCAGGAGGGGTGGTGCTGCCCACATCTGGGTTGGGGCCCGCCTGACACGTGTGGCAACCACTTGATGGAACCACCTTCTGTCCGGTCCTATCGGAATCTCCCACGGGAACCCCCGCCCCTGCCTGTCATGTCTCCAGGGACACGGGCTTACTCCCCGCTGCGCCAGCGGTGCTGGTCCCAGGGGCCGCTCGCCTCACTTTTCTGGCCTGCGACGTGATTCAGAGCTGTGCTATCTTTAACCTCTGGCTGGGACACTCCGCTCCCCTCCCTGTAAACACTGCTCAGATGACAGTGCTGGAATCCTGTGGGGGCAGCGGGCTCTGCACGTGGCCGAGCCATCAGGGCCCGCTCTCTGTCCCTTGCTCTGCCCGAGCAGTCCAAGGAGGGCTGGAACGCCAGGAGACGAGACTTACATCTATTTGTTTGTCACTCGCTCAACACATGGGTGATGAGGACACGGCAGCGACTGAGACAGACTCTCACGGGTCTGAAAGGTCTGAGAAAGGCACTAAATCGATGAGCAAATGGCAGAGCTTCAGGCCCTGGCTTCAGTTCTGTGGAGGCAGGAAGCGGGGTGGGAAGTGACGGGGGGGTGGGGAGGAAGTCCCACCGATGGGGTGAGCTGCGTACTTCCTGACACCCTCCACCCAGATGCTCCCTGGCTGAGAAAACCTGTTTGCTCAACTCTGTGACATGGGTCACCATCCTGGCTGCGCGTGCTTGAGCAGGTCGCTTGGTCAGTCTTTTCTCTGGTAAATAGGAGGTAACGATTTTATCATCGTGGAGGATATTTTTTGCTTTTGCCATCCTTGACGGCATCTGTTCCATTTTACGCAAGCCCACCTTTACATGGGGTACAGATGTTTCAGGGAGGTGGGCTCCTCCTTCTGCCCCGCCCTTGGCTGACGGCTCCAAACCCAGTGTACCTCAGGACTCTGGGGGCAGGAAGACGCCTCCCATCCTGTGGCCTGCAGTATCAGGACCCCTGGAGGAACCAGGTCATTCCCAATGGTCCGACCTGCTGGAGAAACCGTCACCTGAGACCTGCCCAAGCTTTAGGGTGGCTTTCACTAGGGGGTCTAAGGCCCAAGTCACGACTCTCGGGTCTGAGCTTGTAAAGCGAGCACTTGGCACAGATCGGCTTTCCTCCTCGGCGAGCCCGTTTCCCCCACCGCCTGCAAAAGCGGATGACGCCGCCTGCTTGACATGCCGGGTACGGGGTGCCCGCTTAGGGACACCGGATGGCGCCGGCACAGTCGGGGCTCGACGAATGCTTTGCTAGTGTCACGGGTCTCCTGAGAGGACAGGGCTCGCGAGCACCTGCCAATTTGCAATCTGCTCCTTCAGGGAGGGCGAGCGCGCGCGGCAGCTCAGGGGCGGCGCCCATCGAGAGCCACTGACCCCCAGTGGGACCAGGACACTGTGAACCCTCCAGCGCGACGCGCTGCTGGACGTGAAACGTCACCGCAGCGCAGCCTCCTGCAATGCCGCAGGAGGCGAGGATGCAGCGAGATCCACGACCTCGGGAGTAACAAACAGCTCAGTCCTTGCCCCCAAGGGGCCCAGAACTCACCGCGCACACAGCAGGTGCTCAGGGAAGGCTCAGCGAGCGGCTATCAGGGCAGTGCTTCCCGGGGAGGGGTCTGGTTGTGCTGGGGTGCAGAAAACCGGAATCTGACCAGTGAGGTGGCGGGAGAAAAAAGTGTGGGAGGGAGGTGGGGAGGTGAGGGGAGACTTTCTTCCTAAGGCGGAACCAGCTCCAGGAAACCCACGAAGTTCACGGACAGACCTCCTGGGGGAGCCGTGCACCGGCCCCGGCAATGGGCCTCCCCGAGTCCGGGGCCTTCCTGTTTTCTCAGGCCCTCCTCGCCCTTCAGAAGGGCCGAGGCACCGTCTTCTCTGGGGCGACCTTACCGCGAAGTGGAGTCTGGACTAAGTCGGTGGCTTTTGCTTTTGCATGTAGTGACACGCGATTTCTGAATGAAATCTTACACAGAGCTCCGGCACGTAAAGACAAACGCCTGTCGTCCCAGACGGCGGCCCTGGGCGGGTCCTCTGCGTCCACCGTGGGCGCCACGGCCTCTCGCTCTCGGTTACCCACCTCTCCCGCCCCGCCCCCCCTGCTGCCCCAGAACCTGTCGGGTGCTTCTCTTCGAGGGTCGTGTTTTTAATGACCTAAACATCAGCGCCAGGACTCGCGGTTTCAGCGGCCTCACTTTATTCCGTGCTGCGGGACAGTAGCGCGAATCCCGCCCCGACGGAAGGTACAACCTGGCCCTGTCAATGAGAAACACCCTACCTAGCACTGCAAACCCACGCGGGCCGTTTCCTCGGGGGGCGGAGCGCCCAGGGCGCCGCCGCGGCTCCCGAAGGCCTCCACGCAGCCGCCACCCGACAAGGCTTCGAGAGAGGCGTGGGACGCGGACGCCGCTCTCCTGAGTGTGACCTTCTGAGCCTGTCCCCTTCTGCTAGTAACTGCTCTCCCAACAGGCTGAGAAGAGCCCCCTCCGGCCTGCGGGGCGCACGCAGCCCCGGCCCGAGGCGAGGCTCCCCACGCCAGGCTCTCGTGGAGGCACTTTTCGCCCCGAGTGATGGGGAGCCGCGACTCTTGCGTGACCCCAGCTCCCAGCACTCAGCGTCTCACGTGGCCGCACTTGCGGTTTTCTCAGGAAGACCCGAGTGTGGTCCCTGAGCAGCTGGAGGGGTGGCTGCCCGCAACGAAACCCCTGTGCGTGAGCGACGGGGCTGAAGCGGCCTGCGGGTCTAACCCAGGACCCGAGAAGCCCAAGCCTCAGACCGACCCTGCCGGTTCTCCCTCGGGAAAACCCACGGCTCAGGCTCAGCTTCTTGGGCGTCTGGCCTGCACCTCGTTTAAAAAAATACTTCTCTGATGACGATGGCCATACCCGAGGCCCAAAAGGCAAACGAGGGAAGTTTTAAGAAGAGCACAGTCACCCGCGTTCTGGGGACCGACACCACGCTCTACCTTCCTCACCCAGCGCGGGCACAATGAGACCCTCGGTGCGTGAAATCGACTTATCAAGTCTTAAAGAAAAGTTCAAATTCTGAGGAAAAAAAAAAAAATGGCAGCAGAACCTCAGGACTTCCGTGCGATGCCTAACCTGCCCGCCTACTAAATAAACTGCACACCACACCAGCTGAAAGCCACGCCGCCGGCAGGCTGCCCTGGGCAGCGCCCTGCCGGCTCCCACCGCGGGGGTCAGAGCGAGCGGGGCGCCCCCTGCTGGAGGCGGGAGGAGGACTGGCCTCTTGGGGCTCCGCCTCTCCGCCTCGGGGTGGGGGGGCCCCAGTCCAACGGCGCTAGGCGGCTGGGGCTCCCCGGCCACGGCCGACCGACTCAGCTTCTCTCCGTTTCTCGCGGGGAGGGAGGCAATGGCGTCAATCCCTCTGCCTCTCGGGAGGAAGGCGCGATCTCCCGAGACCCAGGCGCGGGGGACGTGTGGACGGCCATGCGTCTCGTCCCAGTTGAGGATGGCTGCGCTCCTGGAGGAAGAGGATCTCCGAGCTCGCGACCCTGAAGGCTTCCAGCACCAACGCTGACGCCCTCCGCTCTCCCCGCGGAGGCGGGACAGCCCTTCTCCCGTTTCCTGCCACTGGAGGCGCTCACGAGAGGGCAAGGTCAGGCGTGGCCTACACCTCTCCCGGCTTCCCCCTCTAGGAACCCCGTTAGTGCAGCTCGATGAAAGCCTCCAGCTCCTCGGGGATGAAGCCCTTGTAGGGGACCTTGTTCTTGTCCAGGGCGCGGGCTGCAAGGCACTGCAGGGTGACGTAATTGAAGGGCTGGATGGTGCTCTTGGCCAGCAGCTTCTCATCCAGCAGCTCGTAGGCCGTTTTCTTGAAGGCGTTGGTGGCGTCCATGTGGGCGCCGGCTTCGATCAGGGTGTTCATGATCCCCGGGCAGCTGTTCTGGGCCGCGACGTGCAGCGGGGTGTTGTTGTCAAAGTCCCGGCTGTCTGGGTCGGCCCCGCAGTCGAGCAGCACCCTGACCACCTGGAGGGAGGGGAACCGGCCCACCGGGTAGCGGCCCACGTTCGTGGTTTCCTTGTCCACAGCCATGTGCAGGGGGGTGAAGCCGTTCTTGCCCCGGGGGGCACACTTCAGCAGCCGGTACACGGTCTGGTGCTTCAGATGCTCCTGGTCCGGCGTGCACTCCACCTTCTCCAACAGGTAGAGCAGGTGGAGGATGATGGCCAGGGCCTTGGTGAACTGGGCCGAGTCCCCGGGCTCCTTGGGCAGCTGCAGGGCCCGCTCCACCTCCCGGACCCCTTTGCAGAGCACCCCCATGAGGTCTGCAAAGCCTATCTGCGTGCCCAGGCTGCCCTTGGCTGCCCGGTCCTGAAGAACGTAAGAGAAGAGTTCCGCAAAGGAGAGGAAGCTACTGGCGGTCATGGGACTCAGCGGCTCCAGATTGTTCTGCTGCATGTCCAGGGCGTACTTCCACAGGCGGATGCAGCGCTCGAAGTTGCCCGAGTCGGCGTACACCGCGCCCCTGTAACGGATGTAATAGGAAGTGTCTGGGTGAGAGGGACCCAGGATGCGCTCTCGGATCAACAGGGCCTGCATGCGCATCTCGTCCGGGTCGGTTATGAGCGCCTCCAATTCTTCGGCGGTGTTCACCTCCCTGGAGTAGTCGTAGGCCAGGACCAGCTGCGGGGGTTCGGGTTTGGGCAGATACGCGCCCCCCTGGTGACGAAGCTCCATAGCCCGCCTCCAGTGTTTCAGGGCCCCGAGCAGGTCCCGCTTCTTATCCACGTATGTGGCTCCCAACAATTCCAAGGCTTCCACGGCAGCTTCCCGGCTGGTGGGGCAGCAGCTCTCATAAACTTCGCCACTGAGCGCTTCCTCCGGGGAGGAGGTGCAGCAGCTGGCCCCCTGGGGCTGCACGCATCCCGGGCCGGTGGCGGGGCCTTCTCCCGCCAGCGCTGGCCGCGCCTCCTCCCCGGCAGGCTGCTCCTGGATGAGGTACTCCACGATGTTGGTGTGGCCGGTCACGCTGGCCGCCAGCAGCGGGGTCATGCCGTAGCCGTCGCGTTCCATGCGGGCTTTGCACCCGAGCAGCAGCTGCAGGATTTCCAGGCTGCCGGACTCGGCGCAGTCGTGCAGGGCCGTGTTGCCCTTGGCGCTGCGCCGGTTCACCTGGGCGCCCTGCTCCAGCAGGTAGCGGGCGATCTCACGGTGGCCCTTGTAACAGGAGATCATGAGGCACGTGTGCCCGTGGCGGTTGGCCACCTCCAGGTCGGCCTGGTGCTCGCCCACCAGGTAGCGCACCACCTCCAGGTGCCCGTCGAAGCAGGCGGCGCGCAGGGGCGTGGAGTTGGTGCGCGTGGTGCGGTTCACCGAGGCCCCGCGGCGCAGCAGGCTCCGCACCACGTCCAGGTGGCCGGCGGCCGAGGCGGCCCACAGCGGCGGCGCGCCCTCGATGGTCTCGCCGTCGAAGTGCACCGAGCCGCCCGCCTCCACGCTCGCGCCGCACCGATCCACCAGGTACTCGACCACATCCAGGTGGCCGTAGCGGGCGGCAATGAGCAGCGGCGTCCCCCCGCCGGCCACCTCGCCCGTCAGCTCATCCAGCTCCTCCCGGCTCCGGCCGCTAAGCAGCTTTTGAAGCAGCTGAAGCTTGCCGTCGCGGGCGGCGTTGTACACGGCGGTGCGGAGGTCCATGATCGGGGCCTCCACCAGGCCATGGGCCGGCCGCCAGGATACAGGAGGATGGCGAGACGGCGGACTAGAGCCCCGAGGGGTAGGCAGCAACCTTCACCGTTCCCCCCGCCGCCATCTTAGAGGCTCCTCGGGCGGAACGAAATGGCTGCCGCAGCCTGGCGCCCTTTGGCTAATGGAAGCGCGCAGGGAGATGTAGTCCTCTGAGCCTGCCCACTCCGCAAGATAGAGAAGAGGCTGTGAGGTTTGAAGACTACATCTCCCAAGAGCTCACGGGCTACACTCGGGGAATCTTGTAGCGTGGTGCATGGTGGGAATTGTCGTTCTACCTTCAGCGGAATGTGGAGGAAACTCAATAGGAGGACAGCAATTCCCGTGATGCAATGCCATCGCGATAGCTTGTGCTTGGTTAAGCACTTCCGGTGGCTGCCTGAATGCCCGAGCCGACAGGAAATACGGACGAGGGCCAAAGGACCACAGTCCCCAAAAGGCATCGGGAGCAACTCGGAGCCAATTGGGAGAGAGAACGAAGGCTAAGACGGCCAAGCGGTCTGATTCGGGCTGGGCCAGGCGCCGCAGCTCACCGACAGGAGGTGCTCGGGAGAAGTGGGAAAGCCTACGGGGTAAGGATGTTAGGGGGTGGTCGGTACAGGTGGCTCTAAGGGTTAGTCTCCTGTGCTCACTTGCTTCTCATTCATTTATTTTTTTCATTCCCTCACCCGTTAATACTGTCAACTGGTGCCACCAATTCGATGCCACCAGGAATCCTCGGGGTGCTGTAAAGGGGGGGAAGACAATTTAGTGAAAACAGCCTAATTGTAATATAGTTCGGCTGTGGAGGGGCTTGGCTGTGAGGTGACAGCTTAGGCGTGAGACTGCCAGTCCAGTGGCTCCGGAGCGGCTCCAGCGAGGTCCCTCTTGCAGCTTCAATTCTGGTGTTACAGCTCCTGCTGGGGAAACTCAGTCTTAGAAGGAAACCGAAAGTGCCCTCCGTGGAGGCGGAGGAGAAACCGGCTTATAGAGAGAAGAGAACCGATCCCCATCCCCGGTTGGTCCATTTTTATGCAGATGCGGGCTCCAGATCTTCACAGTGCGATTGGTCCCTGATCCTTCTCTCATGAGAGGTGAGGACTACGTCCCCTTCCCTTGAATGTGGGTGGACTCATGGTTGCTTTCACCTATAGAGTAGGGCAGAAGTGGCCCTGGGATTTCTGAGGTTAAGGCATAAAAGGTCACCAGCTTTCCTCTTCTCTTGAGGTGCCCACTCTAGGAAAGCCAGACACCATGAAAGAAGTCGAGACCATCATGAGAGATAGATCACGTGTAGACCCTCGGGTCCACCATCCCAGCTGAGACCAGCCGTCCAAGCATCCCCTGTGGGGGGTCCCTGCTGTGAGTGAAGCTGTTTTGGACCTTCCAAACCAGCCATCCACCAGCTGACACCATCCACAGGTAACAGAAGATGTGCCAGCCCCCTCCTAGCTGAGCCCTGCCCAAATCCCTGACCTACAGAATCCGTGACATATAAGAAAATGATTGTTCTAAGCCTGTACGTTTTGGAGTAGCTTATGATCCAGCAGTAGTAACTGGAACCGTGTTAAATGTAGCTTGTGGCTTTAATTTGCATGTCTATAATTACTAACCAAATCACACAGTTCCCCAGGAGTTTGTTTACTATGGCTGTTTCCTCTCTCCTGGAAACTGTCTGTTCATTGGGGAAGTATGCCATCGTTTAGTTTCTAAGGAACAGTCTCAGTGCGTCCTTGAAGGGACTAGATAGATCTATGCCGTTTAGCTCGGACTGAGGTATTTTTATACGTCTTCGTTTCATTCATTTAGACATATTTGTTGATATTCTAAGCACCTACTATGTTTTGGGCCACATTCTGGAAGCTGAGGATGTATCGGTGAGCAGACAGACACTGTTCTCAAGAACCCAGAATCTGAACAGGGGAGATAACTTAAGTCAGGGTGTGTGGTCAGGGACGAGGGAGCCCAGCCGGTGACCAGCCGGTGAATACAGTGTTCCATATCGTTCTAGTTATCTGTTTCGGCTTAACAAAGTACCCCAAGCTTAGCGACTGCTGTGGAGTGAATTGTGTCCTCTCAAAACTTATATGTTGAATCCCTAACCCTCAATGTGACTATACTTGCAGACAGTCTTTAGGAGGTGTCACTCAGGCTTGACAGTCACTCAGCATCACTCCAGCCCCATGCTGTTTGCTGGAAGAAACTCCATAAGTCCAGCCCACTTACAGAGGGGAGAATCAGACGCTGCTCTCAGTGGAAGGGAGTCAGATGTGGGTGACAGTGCTTGTGGACGTCTTAAAACCCTGCACGGGAGCAAAGACCCAGGCGAAGGACAGGGAGCATTTGGTACCTCACCGATCACTCCACATCTACAAGACAGCATCTTAGGGGAATTCTCCAAAGATGAAGGGACACTCCCTTCTCTTTAAAAGTCCCTGAATTAATTACACAATTGATGAGAGATTCAGAGCTAAACACGTCTATGAAAAGGACATTTTAACAAAGTCTTATTGATTTTTCCCTCAAGATAAGACATTGCTGAGTAATGAACAGACATTGTCCACACACTTTCATAGCTGTCTGTGAAGTGTCCGTTTTTTTGTTTTTTGTTTTTGTTTTTTTTAGTAGCAGAAGTCTGAATTGTGAAGAAAGCCACACATATGCGTGAAGTTTGGGGAAAGAGAGAGGCACTTGCTGTGAGAGCTATGTGGAGGCAGAGATGACGTCCGTGGCATCCAATGACATGTATTTTTTTCTTTCTCATCGAGGGCCTTAAGAAGTGACCCTCCTTTGGTTATTGAGTAGCAGGAGTGCCTTGCTCCCTGTGGCAACAAGCAAGAGGAACTTTTCTTTGAGTCTGTAATTTTAAAAATGGAAATAAAATTCACCACATTGAAGTGTCCACCTCAGCGTGTTTAGTACACTCACAGGGTTGTGTGACGACCGCCTAGTTCCAAAACTTTTTAACACCCCAAAAGGAAACCCCATCCCCATTAGCAGTCACCCCCATATGTTACACATGTATTATATATTATATAAGCACATAAATATGATACATAATGTGAGCATATAATATAATATGTCATGTTTATATTATATGATGTATAATTTATAACAATACATAATGTTATATAATATGTGTAAAGCATATAAAACTATGTAATGTATAAAATATAAACTCATATGATATATAAGATAAAATGTAATGCACATATATAGATACGCACAATGGATACATAATGTTTTGCGACTAATTTGAGGAAGTAAGTTACAGTCTTGACAACCTTTACCCGTAAATGCTTCGGTGGGCGTTCCCTAAGAATGAGAACATTCTCTCACAGACGCACAGTTCCGTGATCGGAACCGGGATGTTCGACACTGACCAGCCCTGTCATGGAACCCTCCGTTCGGATTCCAGCGCTTCCGTTGTCCCAGGAGCGTCCATTATAGCTACTCTCCCTGGAAGTCAAAGACACTCGCCATCACAAGCCTCTTGTGCTTTCCTTCTCTGGACCACTCGATTATCACTGAGTCTAAGCCAGTGGGATAAACAAGGATGAATTTTTCTCCATATTGCCTCCCCTGCTGTCTGTCAGATGTCCCCTCTCTGCCCCAAGGAGCACATTCTGTAACCTGCCTGGTCAGTTTCAGTTAAAAAGTCTCGCCCTGTCCAGTCCTGTGCATTTCCATCTCAGAGTTTTCTCCAACCCCTCAGTCGGCTGGTCACGTTACTGGGGAAACTCGGAGTGACGTGGAGTCCCCTGGGACCCCCCTTCTCTGTGCCCGGTCCCGTCTGCCTCACTTTGCACATGTGTCCAGTGTGTGCTGTTTCTGTCCGTCCCTCCGTCACTGGCTTGGCGCAGGGCCAGAGGGATCTCTGATCTTACCAGCTGGGGTGAGCGCCGACCACCCACACAGCTGCCCTCTTGGGTCAGGACTGAGCACGGGCTGAGCTTCTTGGATCCAGAAAGGCAGGGATGGAAGAGAACAGATTCTGGAGCCAGATGTGGGTTGGGGGAGGAAACTCAGCTATCTCCTTGTGATGCCGCCTGCCTGTTGTCATGGAAACCCAAGCCACTCTCTTTTGAAGGACCCATTAAGGTGCAGGATATAATCAGCGCTCTGGCTCTCTGTGGCAGACCCCAACCCTCTCTGTGGGAGGTGACCGCAGCTGGAATCCCAGGGAGCGACACAGCATCCGAGTTCTGCCCTCATCACCCCTCTGCAGTCCTTGCTGGAGATGACTCGCTGTGCGACCACAAGTCTCCGCTCCTGTCTGCATCTTGGCCTCCTCCCCTGTGGAAATGACAGATGGACATGTCACAACTGCCACCCTATGTGTGCCAAACTGTGAGAAGGGCATAAGGTAGGTTCAAAATGCAGACCCGGGATGCAGACTGCCCACATTCAGATCCTGGCTCTGCCACGCACTGGCTGTGCAACCTTGAGCAAGTTGCTTTACCTCCCTGAGCCTCAGTTTCCTCTCCTATAAAATGGGGTATAATAATGACATTTACCTCATAGTAGGAAATGTATCTAAAGCTATTTAAAACAGTGTCTGGGGGAAAAAAACTAATATATCCATCCAGTGGAATATTATTCAGCCATAAAAAAGGAATGAGCACTGACATACACTACCATGTGGTCGAACCTTGAAAACACGATGCTCAGTGGGAAGCCAGACACAACAGGCCACACGGCGTGTGATTCAGTTTGTGTGAACTGTCTACAACGGGCAGGCCACCGAGACAGAAAACACGTTTGGGGTTGCCAGGGGCTGCAGGGAAAGGGGTATGGGGAGTGACCGCTTAGCAGGCACGGGGTTCCTTTTGGGCTGATGGAATGTTCTGGAAGTAGGCAGTGGTGATGGTTACAGAACTCTGTGAGTGTACTAAATGCCACTGAATTTTCACTTTAAGATCGTTAAAATGCCAATTTTGTGTTGTGTGGATTTTTTTGAGATTTAAAGGTTTTTTGATGGCGGGACACAACACGGTGACACTTGCGTAGAAGAAATAACTCTGTTACTTGGAGCTCCAAACGAGAGGACACAAGGCTTGCACCAGGGACAATAACAGTAAACAGGAGCTCTAGGAGTCGCTTCTGTGTGACAGGTGGGTGGGGCTTTCTGGAACTGGCTAATTTGAATAATTTCCCAGGCTCCGGGACAATAGGGCTGTCCCTGGTTGCCTGGTTCCTGGCCCTGGGGCAATCAAAGCAGGTGCCTAGTGGCCCTCGAGTATGAGAGGTGATAAGGGAAGTGGTCCAGGTGTGGACTTAATCAATTGCCCTAGAGGAACTGATCGGCCTCTGAAATGGGTCCCTGTGTCCCTTCCTCCCTTCGGTGTGTGGAGATACTCATTTCTCATCTGTGTAAACCCGGACACGGAATTGCTGAGTCAAAGGGGAGAAAAGAAACTTCCCTTCGGTTTCAGCCACGGCTACCTTATGAGTCTGTTGGAGTGACTGGACGAGATCCCCGCACACTGCTGCCCCCGTGGCTTCGCCTCACTCTCTGGACCCTTCGCTCCTACTTTCTGGAATCACCCCACAAATAACCCACACACTGGGTCTTCGTCTCAGACCCCACTTTCATGGAACCTCAAGTTAAGATAATTGGACACGGACCCAATGTAATAAGATAGCTCAATGGGTCGTACCTTCAATTCAGATGTCCGCTGTCTGTGGTGACCCATCTTTATAAGTGTCTGTGGACCTCCGTGTTTCTACGTCTGACGACAAGCTCAGACACCAGCATTTACATCTCAGCTGGCTACATATTGAGTGCTAGCTCTGAGCTGGGCGTGGGGGTGCGTAAAGATGAAACTGGTAAGATTAGCTGAAGTGCCCCCTTTCAGAGGTCTTTGGGAGAAATAAAAGGTTAGTGGGGTTTTTTTTTTTTTCCAAAGTTTTTTCAATCAAAGGAAGGAGTCCCCTAAGTAAGAGTCACTAGGGAAGTTGGTCAAAATGCAGGTCCTGGGGCTGGCCCTACCTGCGGCTTACTGACCCTGGGGGGGACCTAAGAATCTGCCTTCTCTGTGGGCTTCCTGGGGGCATCCAAGCCAGAGGCGGCCCTGGGTGGGTGAGCTGTTGAGTGAGCTGGAAAATGATATACTCTCATCGGAAAAGGGCCAGATCAGGCCAGGTGAGGACATTTGAATATTATCATGCAGGCAGTGGGAATCTTGAAAAGGTTAAAGGCAAGGGTGGGACTTGATCAGTTTGTGTTCTAGAAAGACCACTCGCTGTGTGCGGAGAATGAATTGGCTGTGTGTGTTTTAGGAAGCGGGGAAGAGGCCGTTAGGTGACCAGGCAGCGATGGAGGCAGAAAGGTGGAGAAGAGGCCAGGTCTGCCCAGAATTACTTGCCTTGGTGAATACAGGGGTCGATGAGGAGGGGAGGGACTCTGGGATGTGGAGGGGCTGCCACATCAGTGGGAACATGGAGGGAGGGGTGAACTGGGGGCTGGGTTGGCTGGGTTTTTGGTTTGAAACGATTAATCCGGAGTGGTTGGGAGACACCCAGGGGGAGACACGTAGAAATACCAGGGCAGAACCTCCTCTCCCGCGGGAGTCCCTAAAGGGCAGTATCTGGGGGACTTTTTTTTTTTTCAAAAAAAATATGTGAATGCTCTCCCATTCTCGAAGGGCACTTCTAAATATACCACGAAACCTCTCACAATTGGCCTTAGCCCAGACATCGAACCCCTCTCTCCACACCATTCTCGAAGCGCCTCTGGCATGTAGGTTTCTCGTAATTGTGTTTTCTCTGCTTGTTAATGGACCCACTGAGGCAGTACTCCCGGGAGAGAGAAAGATTTCATTTGTCTGGGGGTGAGAAGGGAGATAGGGGTTGCCAGAGCTAATGAGGAATCAATGCCTCGTAATTGCTAATTAGAGCCGGGCTCTCTCCTGGGGCTATTAGTTGGCTGGCTGGCCCTTGAGTGTCCACAAATTTAATTATACTCCCCAATAAACACCTGCAACAACCAGCACCCTGTGGTATCTCTGTGGGGGAGACTGAGGAGAAGCAGGATCTTCATGGTTGTGCTGAAAGATTAATTCATTTATCGATTAATGCATTGGTTTATTCTCTGATGCCTTTATTGATTCAACAAATGTTTATTGAGCACCTGCTGTGTGCTAGTGCCTGTATTGGGTGCTGGGACACAGTAGTGAAAACACAGAGTCTCTGCCCTGATGGAGTTCACAGTGGAATGGAGGCAACCTACCGTCCTGTAAACAGTTACCACAACGATAATTGGAGTAGGCTCCGGAGAGAAGATATCCCAGCTTATGAGTGTGTATAATACAGACTTGACATGGGTGGTGGTGAGGGACCAGGGAAAGTTTCCCTTGATGAAACGAGGCTTGGACAAGAAGGCAGGAGGAGCTGTGGGGTGCTCTGGGAGATAGAGCATCCAAGCTGAGGGAACAGCAAAGGCAGAGGCTCTGAGGCTGGAATGACCTTGATGTGGTGTCTGCGACTTGATTAGGATGTCGCAGAGAACTGCAGGTGAGCCTCGATGATGCTACAACTCACCTACCAGGCACAAGTTTGCATTCATCCTGTAGTTGGTCCATGGAACTGGTGGTGGGGTGGGGGAGAGAAAAATCATTCCTGGAAGTTTTATTGAAAAGTCTCTGTAGAATCCTGGTCAGGGGAAGGCTTCAAACTCCAGTGCCTCGTTGATTCCCCAGGAAAGTGTAGCGAGGCTGTTAGGCCCTGGGTGTAGAGTCGGATATTTTGTATATCCAGGACTGTGGGAGAATCACCGTGCTCACAGGGTGCATGCCCCGGTTTTATTCCCTCCCCTGCCCTTGTCCCATGGAATTGACCATCTCACCCCCTGGGTGGAAGTCGTTCCTTCCTGACCCCCCACCCCCACACTTGCTTGTCCAT